CAGGCCTGTAATCTGCCATGGGCCTCCGTTACCGCCTGGTCACGCTGCTGCTGGGTCCACAGTGTGACATGGGTCCCTGTACCGCCTCCCATTGCTCCCACTCTGCCATGTGCCACTTTGAGGTCTCCTCACACTCCTGCTGTTTTCCATTTTGTCATAGGTTGCTGGCAGATTACAGGCCTCCCATAGGTGCTGCCAGGCCCCAAATCTGCCATGGGCCCCCGTACCGCCTCGTCACGCTGCTGCTGGGTCCACAGTGTGACATGGGTCCCTGTACCACCTCCCATTGCTCCCACTCTGCCATGTGCCACTTTGAGGTCTCCTCACACTCCTGCTGGTTTCCATTTTGTCATAAGTTGCTGTATGGCCTCCCAATTGCTGCTGCCTCCACCGCCACACACTGTGGCTCCAAACACTGGTTTTGGCCCCGTGACTGGCCAAATGAGTGAAGTGTGCGGTGATTCTAAGATCGACGGCACTCATCTGCATGTCATACTGACTGACAGTATTATTTCTCTTCCCTAGCAGACTCCAAGGGCATTTAAATTAAAGGTACAGTGTTCTGCACTAATATTAAGTCTCTCTGAAGCCTAGAAACACCCTTTTTTAAGTTAAATTCACAGCGAATATATTCGACTCGAATCGAATATTGTCCACGAATTCGCCGAATCAGTCGAATCGAATTTTTGAATACTTCGCTCATCTCTAGTTAACATATAATAAATAATTTGAAAGGTATTTCTGGGCCGTTTTGTATTGCATTGTCCATTTAATAAATTACCCCTCCCCATGTGCACCACCACCCATTCCAGTTTAAAGTGTAGGTAAACCCTAAAAATAAACTTTACTATGAGATTTAGACTGGAAATCTAATTTCAAAAGTCATTTTAAATGCTTTATTATTATTTCAGGTACTTATATAGTGCTGTCAATTTTACGCAGCACTTTACATATATATTGTACATTCACATCAGTCCCTAACCGTCAAGGGGTGTACAATCTAAGGTCCCTAACCCTCAAGGGGCATACAATCTAAGGTCCCTAACCCTCAAGGGGTGTACAATCTAAGGTCCCCAACCCTCAAGGGGCGTACAATCTAAGGTCCCTAACCCTCAAGGGGGGTACAATCTAAGGTCCCTAACCCTCAAGGGGGGTACAATCTAAGGTCCCTAACTCACATTCATACATACACATATTAGGACCAATTTAGACAGGAGCCAATTAACCTACCAGCATGTCTTTGGAGTGTGGGGGGAAACCGGAGTACCCGGAGGAAACCCACGCAGGCACAGGGAGAACATGCAAACTCCAGGCAGGTGGTTTATCCGCAGCTTTCATTAAAATATTTTCTTGTGGTTAGTCACTTCAAGTCCAGACACTTTTACCCCCTTCCTGTCCAGGCCAATTTTCAGCTGTCAGAGCTATCACATTTTGAAGGACAATTGCGCGGTCATGCAACACTGTACCCATATGAATTTTTTTAGCATTTTTTTGAGACAGATAAAACTTTATTTGGGTGGTATTTATTCACCACTGGCATTTTTATTTTTTTTGCTATATAAATGAAAAAGTTCAAAAGTTTTGAAAAAAAAGTGTTTTTCTTATAAAATTTTGCAAATAAATAATCTGTCTTCATAAATCTTGGCCAAAATGTATTCAGTTATCTTTTTAGTAAAAAAAACATAACCCACATTAGTTTATAACCAAAAATTCAAATTTTTTAAAAATTTTTTTTTTTACATTTCTATTTTTTTGGAATATTATTATTTATGTTTTTTTTTTAAAACATACTGTCACCCTAGCAGTCCCATAGGGACACTGTACTCCGTGTGGGGGGTGATGACGATTTTTTTTTTTTTTTTACACTGATTGCTCATAAAGGCTGTAAATGCAATAATATTTCCTTCTCTCTGGCTGCATTCTTGCAGCCACTGAGAAATACTGTGAGAGCTGTGATTGTTCACAGCTTGTCACATGGTACAAGGCTGTTGTGAATAGCCTTGTACCATGTGACCTCTGTGATCATTCACAGAGTTTCACACGTAGTAAGCAATGATGTCAGAAGGGACATCTTGCTTACTACTCTTCATGTGATCACTGATTGGCCAATCAGGGATCACATGATCGGGACCTCGCACAAGCAGGGAGCAGGGAGAGACATTTATAAACGGCCACCCGCTCCTGCACTGCTCCCGTCCAGCCGTTTATATACATGGGCAGGACAGGAAGTGGTTAAGCTATGCATGGGAGTCACTAGCGATGTGAACCAGCAAGGGAGAATGTCACCAGCACACCAAGGATCACTAATATGGGTCCAAAAGTTTTAATGAACGATCACATAGTTACAGCAAGGCAACGTTTCAGAGTCTCGCAGGACCCCTTCATCGGGCATGAACAGGCAGGAAACGCGTACGTTGGGATTGTACACTTGGAATGTGAACCAAGGACATGTCCTACATCTCTTGCTGGGTGCCCCTGATCCCAACACAATGACTGCCCTCTTTTTTAAAAAGAACTAAGCTCAACTGCCACCGTAATGACAGCCCCTCCCCGGCCAATCATGTTATTTTGCCCACAGCTGTCCTTCCCTTCTGGCTGGAGAACTATACTGTTCATGCTCTCCATGTGGCCTTGACCACCTGCGACTGCACCTTCATTGTATAGGTGTAATGAGGGAGGGGGGCTGCATATTGCTTAGATGCGTGTGGAGGAGGTGTGTGGGGAAGGGTTGCAGGTGGCTGCATGATGTGCACTGGGGGATTGCATTGTATCATTGCACGGGGAGTGGAAGTTGCAAGTTGACAAGATGCAGAGGTTGAGTGGTGGATAAGGAAATGCAGAAATGAGCGGTGGACACGGAGGTGCAGAGGTGAGCACCAAATGAAAAAATGCAGAGTTGAGTGGTGCATGAAAGTGTGCAGGGGTGAACGGTGGACTAAGGGGTGCAGAGGTGAGCATTGAACAAAAGGATGAAATATCAAAAGTGGTGGATTAACGGGTGCAGAGGTGAGTGGTGAATGGAGCACAAGGAGTTATATAGGTGAGCAATGGACAAGGCAATCAGTGGAAGAGGAAGTGAAGAGGTGAGCGGTGGTAGAGGAGGTGTAGAGGTGAGCAGTGGACAATTGGATACAGAGGCAATCAGTGAAAGAGGAAGTCTAGAGGTGAACGTTGGCAGAGGAGGTACAGAGGTGAGCACTGGACAATTGGATGCAGAGGCAATCAGTAGAAGAGGAAGAGCAGAGATGAGCGGTGGTAGAGGAGGTGCAGAGGTGAGCACTGGACAATTCGATGCAGAGGCAATCAGTGAAAGAGGAAGTCTAGAGGTGAGCGTTGGTAGAGGAGGTACAGGCAGGTGAGCACTGGACAAGGGGATGCAGAGGCAATCAGTAGAAGAGGAAGTGCAGAGGTGATCACTGGTAGAGGAGGTACAGAGGTGAGCAGTGGACAATTGGATACAGAGGCAATCAATGAAAGAGGAAGTCTAGAGGTGAGCGCTGGTAGAGGAGGTACAGAGATGAGCAGTGGACAATTGGATACAGAGGCAATCAATGAAAGAGGAAGTCTAGAGGTGAGCGTTGGTAGAGTAGGTGCAGAGGAGAGCACTGGACAATTGGGATGCAGAGGCAATCAGTGGAAGAGGAAGTCTAGAGGTGAGTGTTGGTAGAGGAGGTGCAGAGGTGAGCAGTGGACAATTGGATACAGAGGCAATCAGTGAAAGAGGAAGTCTAGAGGTGAGCGCTGGTAGAGGAGGTACAGAGATGAGCAGTGGACAATTGGATACAGAGGCAAATCAGTGAAAGAGGAAGTCTAGAGGTGAGTGTTGGAGGAGGTACAGAGGTGAGCAGTGGACAATTGGATACAGAGGCAATCAGTGGAAGAGGTAGTGCAGAGGTGAATAGCGGATGAAGAGGTACAGAGGCAAGTAGTTGTCTACGGCAGACTTTTTCAACCAGGGTGCCCAGGCACTTTGGCGTGCCTTGAGGTTTTTTCAGTGGTGCCTTGGCAAAAATGCCTAAAATTTGCCCAAAAATTGTATACAAGCCAGAGGCGGATCAACCCTTCCTTTTAGTTACACAAAGGGTTTTCATTTTGCACCATTACGACCTTCTAGTCGCCAGTATCCCAAAAGCCAATGACATCATCAGCACCTGCAAGACCCTCCTCTGCCTCTCTCTGTCAGTGCTGGGGTCATAGAGAAGTGATAGAGAGAAACTTAGGGAGAAGAGAAACACTGGAATACTAGTCAGTACCAGTGTGCAAAAAGTGTATTTGATTTGGAAGAATAAATCACCTTAAACATTGGGTGTACTACGTGTGTGGATGTTAAAGCATTATGTAAAATGATTAGAATAAATGCTCTCTAATGTTGGGTGTCATACATGTGTGCATGCTATTGTGTTTATTCTTTAGGTGAGGTTGATTTACAAATGAACTATGCTGCGGGTGGGCAATTTTTGCATGCTGTGGAGACTTTACTTCGGAGGGGAGTTTTTGCTGGTGAGGTTGGCTTGAGGTTGGGGCTTTACTGGGGAAAGATTTTAGCTTGATGGGAATTTAGCTTTTCCTGAGTACCAGTACTTTGTGCTGTATTAAGTACTGCTGACCCCTGCACTCTGTATGCTGGGGGTGTAGCAGTCAGAAGTGTGCAACAAATGGCACAGCATACAGAATGCAGTAGTCAGGATTTTGTACCATACTGTGTACATTACATTTTGCTGATTGCCATACTCTGTAGACTGTGATTTGCAGTACACACACACCTCTTAATGTGGAATGTTACATACTTATGGCCATTGTCAGGCATGCATACAAGCACATGGGGGCCATACAAACTACTGAGGACCACTTTGATTTGCTGCAATGAAATTTCAGTTAAATGGACTAGCCTGCTGCATGATTTTTTCACTTTGATTTTTGGATGTCTTTGAAATCAGTCCTCTGTAGGTCCATCACTTTCATTTCCATCAAACGATGGGGCATCCCAGCGGCGGACTGACCATTTGGAAATTCAGGCACTGCCCGAGGGCCCGGGGTCAGTAGGGGGCCCCATGAGATGCCCCTGGTACCTTTTTCATAGGCTTTTTTGAGTTTGGGCAAGGACACAGGGGCCCCATGATCCCCTATTGCCCGGGGGCCCCAGGAGTTGTCAGTCCGCCCCTGGGGCATCCTTACGTTCCTAACACATTACCCAGTCCATATCAGTATAGATATCCAGCAGGAGATTTTTCCCCATTGAGATCTGATGTGTTTTCAAAGTGTTCCTTTAATTTCTTTGAGCAGTGTAGTATAAATGAATAAAGGTGTTTTAATCCTGCGGTTCTAATTGATTCAGTGAGAGTGTCTCTGGGGTTGTCGGGATCGCAGGATGAAAAAAAAACATTTAAGTTTTTCACCGTTCTGCCTCATGCACCATTCTCCATGGCATGCAAAGCACACCGCATCATGCTCTACTTGCAGTACCCCGGTCTTTCATAATCCTAGCAACGGCCCCTCTGCCATGACCAACCTTGCTCAGGAGTTTCCTGTTATGGGGTGACAACACTCTTACCTCACATCTTTCCTGTGTTAAGATACTCTCCCAATGAGAACTATTAGAATCTCTGCTGACTTGTCCACTGTTATCACCAGGGGTGGACTGACCATTTGGAAACTCAGGAACTGCCCGAGGGCCCGGGGTCAGTCGGGGGCCCCATGAGATGCCCCTGGTACCTTTTTCATAGTTTTTTTTTAGTTTGGGCAAGGACACAGGGGCCCCATGATCCCCTATTTCCTGGGGGCCCCATGAGTTGTCAGTCCGCCCCTGACAGGAAGTTCAACAAGGATGCAACAGAGGATATGAGTGTAAAACAGTATTTGGCAATTGTTTATGATGCACAATGCTTTAACAAACTAAGAGGTTTATTTTGATTCAGACACCCTGTTCGGTTATCCTGTCTGCATTAGTTTCCCCCCCCAGAGCAGATCCATGTTCTTCAGCAAAGCAGCTGGATGGAAGTTAAGGGCTACACAACCAATAATGTCACAGTAGTTAAAGAGCTTTGTTCTGGCAACACATATCCACAAAGGAACTTGTCTCCTGTCATCCACCAACTTTAAAGGGGTAGTAAACCGCCCCCAAAAAAATGTGCCATGCAAAATAACAGCATACTGTGCTACTATGCGATGCATACAAGCACATTATGAAATACTTACCTTACAACGAAACCCTGCCACCACTGATAGCGCTTCCATCGTCAGCTAGCCTTCCTTCTGGTATCCCGCTTGATTGAACATGCTACAATAACGTCACATACATGCGCACGGGAATCTCGACCATGGCACAGGGCTCTGAAGGAACGGCATGCCGGTATGCCGTTCCTTCAGAGCACATGCGCCGCCAATGTTACCGGCTGCAGAGACACTGAATATCTCCTAAACGGTGCATGGTTAGGAGATATCCCTGTACCTACACGTAAGTTTTATTATATGCTTACCTGTAGGTACAAGTGTCCAGTGGGAGTTTATTTCCACTATAAATTAATTTTTTTTCCTAAGCGGGACAAAGCACTCGGGACAAAATGTATGTGAAATGGTTTGATACAGTAATGTTATAATTAGTGTATTTAGTGAATGTCACTTTTTGTCATTTTCAAATTTCCCGCCGGTTCCTTCTCCCGTACGTCTCGATGCTCGCAGGGAACGGAACCCAGAAGACAGATGCCGGCATCGGCCGGAGGACATTGCCGGGGACACTGCAGGAGGGACATCGCGGGGGCGCAGGACAAGGTAAGTGCAGAAGGGATCCCGGAGCAACACTGCAAGGTATTCCAGAGTGTAGTTCGGGGTTACCGCTTGTGGTGCTGAAACTTTACCCCGAGCTACACTCGGGAATACCGCCAGGGAGGTTAAAGATTGCACAGTTTATTTAGGCAATTTGTGACCTTAGTGCGGTCCATTTTTAAAATATTTATTTATCAAATGTTTTTCTAATGAAATCTTATAGGGAAATTGTGTAAAACTTGTGAGAATCTTGGGTGAAATAATTGATAAATAGATCTTTAAATGTCAGTAATTCAGGTTTCCACTTACAATTTTTTGTTGCTGTTGTCTTTGAAGCAAACACATTAGAAATCTTCTGCTTCCTTTTTTAAACTGGATTTCCCTTTTATATATAACATGGAGAGAAATGGGGTACCATCCAGGTAAGTCTAATCTCTCTTTTTTTTTAAACTGCTTATTAAATGAAATTATGTTTTTGAAATAACGTCATATGTAACTACAATTTGCTCACTGAGAATCGGTGGATTCTCTTTTGATTTTGCTATGTTGTATGTGCCAGCGTCCCCAAATATGCGGACACTAAAGATGTTCAAAGAAATTGGACTTCCAGCACTCACAAGGAAAGTGTCTTACAACATCACATGAATTTTAAATATAAAATGTCATCATTTATCTTACACGTAAGAATAAAACTACAATCTTTTATTTGTGTATATTATAAGGCAACCACCAAAGAATATGCCTAGTCCATGTACATTACAGCAATAGAGCAGTGTATGTCCAGGGGTCTAAATGTTTTTTGATGTAGGATCCACTCTTCACTGAACCTAGCTGAATGTTATAGAAACGATTTCAATAATTGGTGGTTGTAAACGCTTGGCATAACCTACAATAAATCACATGCATAAGTACCTATGTATGTGATTTATTGTAGGTTATGCCATGCTTTTATGACCACCAATTATTGAAATCTTTGATTTATAGTTCAACCACATCCAGTGATGAGTATATCCCGAGGAAGCGGTTCTACACAGCAAGGACCTGTTTACACCTTCATCTACAGTGCTGTGAATAAGTATTTCTAATTTTTTTTTGTGTATTTGTCACACCTAACTGATTCCAACAAATTTTAATATTACAAAAAGATAACCCGAGTAAATACAAAATGCAGTTTTTAAATGATGATTTCATTTATTATGGGAAAAAAGATGTTCAACCCTGCCTGGTGCTATGTGAAAAAGTAATCCCCCCCCCCCCTTCCACCTTGCTAACCCCCGGTTCACATATATGCGGCCGCGTTTTGCACGGGCAGGAGAGCTCATTCATTTGAATGGACTCCCGTGCCCGTGACACGCAGGGAAGAAGTCCCTGAACTTCTTTGGAAAACGCATCCCGCACGGAAATTTCGATTCGCAGTATGGTTGCGTTTTCCAGTGCAGGCGGCGTGTCATTAGAACTAATAGCACCCGCCCGTGGGTCTGCATTCCTCTGTGCGGGTACACTGATTTTCGTGTGGATCCGCAGCGGCACCACCCACACAGATGTGAACCTAGGGTGAGAGAGTGAAGTTCTACTTTTAACCTCCCTGGCCGTATGATTATTTCAGATTTTTGGTGCTGAAAGCGGTACCATTATTTTGCATGGAAATATGTATTTTTTTTATTGTAGGCCTGTAATTTTAGGAATAACTCATTGAAATCTGTCCGAACAAGAGTCTAGTGAACATCCCGAGTATGATAAAATTTGAAACACAAAATCATAAATTATAATTTAATAAATAATCAAAAAAATAATAATATAATAATAATAAATTTAATTCAATAATATAATCAAACCAAAAAACACTGAAATTTGAAATATAGCGCCAAGTTCGTACATCGCTGAGCAAAGTCGCAAAATTGTTTTCAGTGTCTGATGATGAATTTCCCCCACGAATCATTATCACTCAATTCTGCAAGTGGTTCTGATTTACTATCGCTGTTCTCTAGCCGGTCTAAACCCGCTTTTGACCTAAAGGGATGCTTTTTGGACGCCATGGACATTTCTCAGTTTCCAGGCAGAAAGAACAGACAAAATGCAGGCAGGGCACAGGACAAAGCACTCGGGACAAAATGTATGTGAAATGGGTTGAAACAGCAATGTTTTACTATGTAATATTTGTTTGGAAAAAAAATAAATTTTTTTAAAATTTTCATATTTCCCGCCGCCGCGGCGGCGGCCACGGCGCCCGTACGTCCCGATGTCACAGGGACCGGAACACAGAAGCCGGATGCCAGCATCGGCCGGAGGAGATGGCTGGGGACGCTGCAGGGGACACATCGCGGGAGCGCAGGGCAAGGTAAGCTCTGCAGGGAATCCCTATGCAGCGCCGCATGGTAAGCCCGAGTGTAGCTTGGGGTTACCGCTTTTGGTACTGACATTTTACCCCGAGCTACACTCGGGAATACCGCTAGGGAGGTTAAGTAATACTTACAGGTGTGGTCCCTCTCCCAGCCTGAGACTGGACAGTGAAAGGAGAAGTGGCAGACTGATGAGCTCATCTGTCATTCTATTGCAGGGCTCTCCAAACTTCTTAAACAAAAGGCCAGTTTACTGTCCTTAAGACTTTAGAGGGGCCGCACTGTGACCATTGAGAGTAAAAAAATGTCCCAGCATCAGTTGGAGTAAACAATGTCCCATCTTTGCTGTCATTGGGAGGAGTTGTGCCCCATTACTGGTGTCATTGGTAGGAATAGTGTTCCATCATTGGTGTAATTAGGAGGAATAGTGCCCCATCGTTGATGTAATTGGGAGGAGTTGTGCCCCATCACTGATGTAATTGGAAGGAACTGTGCCCCATCACTAGCTTCATTGGGGGGAATTGTGCCCCATCATTGGTGTCGTCATGAGGAATTGTGCCCCATCACTGGTGTCATTTGGAGGAATTGTGCCCAGTCATTGGTGTCATTTGTAGGAATTGTGCCCCATCATTAGTGTCATTGGGCCTCCTTGTTGGTATCATTAGGAGGAACTGTGCCCCATCGTTGGTGTCATTGGCAGGAACTGTGTCCCATTGTTGGTGTCATAGGGGGGAACTATGGCCCATTATTGGTTTAATTGGGAGGAACTCTGCCCCATTATTGGTGTCAGTGAATGAAATAGTGCCCCAAGTCCTGGATAAAAGCAGGCAAAGGGCCATATCCGGCCCCTGGGCCATAGTTTGGAGACCTCTGTTCTATTGTATATTCTTATCGGCATGCTCCTTGTTAAGATATGAGCACCGCAGCACTAGTGATTGGTTGCTTCTCCCACTGAGTCTGAGATCTGCCTTATGAGGATTGCCAGAGAGCGATACCAAGTAATATTCAGGTGCTTTCACTGCTTGCGTTTATAAATATTTGTAATGATGTTTTAATACAATAAATTATATCTTTTATATCTGCATGGACTTTAACTGTAAAGTCAGAGAATGAGAATCTACAGATTTCTGTGATTTGATCTCTTTTGGACTTCTTTGGAAAACGCAGCCCGCACGAAAAGCTCGGTCCCCAGTACGGTTGCGTTCTCTAGTGTGGGCGGCGTGCCATTAGAACTAATGGCACCCACTCACGGGTCTGCATTTCTCTGTGCGGGTGGTGTGACTGCACGGATTTTTGTGCGGATCCGCGGCGGCACCACCCTCACAGATGTTAACCTAGGGTAAATCAGGAAGGAACATGCCACACCCTGGTCTGATTACTGCCAGACCTGTTCAATCAAGAACTCATTTAAACAGAAGCTGTCTGAAGCTGTATGAAGTGAAGCACATTAATGCCCCGTACACACGAATGAGAATATCGGACGAACGATCGGCTGTTTTTTTTCACCTGCTAGTCTCACATTGAAAGTGAAAAGGTTGCTAAAGATATGAAAATTCTGCTATGAAAGAAAAGAATTTCAAAAGTGATGTCATATATTGCGTTGTATTTGTATTGTATTTTCAGACGACTACTGTACTGATTAAACGAAAATCGTCCGATCTGGTATCGTACGAGAAACATTTTTGTGCTTGTCCCTTCGGATATTGTCGTACGAATTGTCGCGATTGGCTCTCGAAAGCTGTGTACTAACGATCTGATTATCGGACGATCGGTCCTCGTACGAAAATTTTCGTACGATTTTCTTATAGTGTGTATGGGGCATAGGGGCTCGTTCACACTTGCCTTTATTTCTAACTCTTGCCAAACACCCCTATAGCATTTGACAGGCATTAGACAGGCATTTGGGAAGCGTTTTTAACGCTCCCCAAACGCTCCCCAAATGCTCCCCAAACGCCCTATGCGCAGTTTTAAGGCAGTTGATAGGCGTTTGCCAAGCGTTAAAACCGCACCACAAGCGCCTATAATGAAGTTTAATGGTATTAACGCTCCAAAAAACGCCTCGCAACCGCATCACAACTGCACCATAGACTTGAATGGGAGGCTTCAACCCCTCCTGACTTGACATGAGGCATCAGTTTTGCCGCGACGCAACGCAACGCTAACGCTTCAGTGTGAACATTTGCATTAAAAACGCCTGCTAGGCATTTGAGGAGCGGCACCATAGCCTTGAATGGGAGACTTCAACTCCTCCTGACTCGACATGAGGCACCAGTTTTGCCGCGACGCAACGCAATGCTATCGCTTCAGTGTGAACAGCTTGAGACGTGTTAAAAAAGCTTCCTAAATGCCTGTCTGATGCCTGCTGACAAAGCTAGTGTGAACGTAGAACGTAGCCTTACACACGCAGTTTTAAGGCAGTTGATAGGCGTTTGCAAGCGTTAAAACCGCACCACAAGCGCTATAATGAAGTTTAATGGTATTAACGCTCCAATTCGCATAGGTCACAACTGCACCATAGACTTGAATGGGAGGCTTCAACCCCTCCTGACTTTGAGGCCAGTTTTTGCCGCGACGCAACGCAACGCTAACGCTTCAGTTGAACATTTTTCATTAAAAACGCCTGCTAGGCATTTGAGGAGCGGCACCATAGCCTTGAATGGAGACTTCAACTCCTCCTGACTCGACATGAGGCACCAGTTTTGCCACGACGCAACGCAATGCTATCGCTTCAGTGTGAACAGCTTGAGACGTGTTAAAAAAGCTTCTAAATGCCTGTCTGATGCCTGCTGACAAAGCTAGTGTGAACGTAGAACGTAGCCTTACACACACAGAATATAACTGGATACTAATATTTATAGGTAAAGTTGATCCAGGGAATATCCGATTACCTCTCGGGGGATCAGGAAGGAATTTTTTTCCCTGCAGAAGCAAATTGGATCATGCTTTGCTGGTTTTTTTTTGCCTTCCTCTGGATCAACTGTGGGTGTAGGATATATAACAGATATACTGAATGCAGGGTCCAGGGAGACTGGATATACTGAATGCAGGGTCCGGGGAGACCAGATATAGTGAATGCAGGGTCCGGGGAGACCGGATATAGTGAATGCAGGGTCCGGGGAGACCGGATATAGTGAATGCAGGGTCCGGGGAGACCAGATATAGTGAATGCAGGGTCCGGGGAGACCAGATATAGTGAATGCAGGGTCCGGGGAGACCAGATATAGTGAATGCGGGGTACGGGGAGACCAGATATAGTGAATGCAGGGTCCGGGGAGAGCAGATATAGTAAATGCGGGGTCCGGGGAGACCGGACCCCGCATATTTAATTTCTACTATAAAACATGGCCAATAAAAAATATAAAAATCAAATTTCTTCATAAATTTAAGTCAAAATGTATTCTGCTTAATATCTTTGGGACATATAGTGGAATTTAAAAACTTTTTTTTTATACAAGTAATGGCGACGATCACCGACATTTAGCAGGACTGCACTAACTAACACTTTGTGGGAACCAGTGACACTAATACAGTGATCAGAGCTAAAAATATGCACTGATCACTGTTCTAATGACACTGGTTAGGAAGGGGTTAACATCTAGGGCTATCAAAGGGTTAAATGTGTGCTTAAAGTGGAGCCCCACCCAAAAGGGGAAGTTCCGCTTTAAGGACTGCTCCCCCCGCTCCCCATTAAGGATTGGCACCTTTGGGGGGCGGGGGGGAGCAGGTACCCAAATGTGACAGGTACCCGCTTCCACTTCTGGTCCGATCGCTTAGACGATCGGAAGCAGAAGGTGTCCACCCCCTCCCTCCCTGTAGTCTTTTGGGACACGTGACAGGTCCCAGAAGACTATATGACCATTCATGAAGCGCAGCGCTACTCGCACATGTGCAGGGGGTACCCGGCTGTGAAGCCGCAAGCAGTCACAGCCAGGTGCCCACACTGAAGATGCTGGCCTCCTGGAATACAGGACGGCCAGTGAAACGTGTTTCATGGAGGACACACCACGGGACCGAGGAACAGGTAAGTGGCTATTTTTTAAAAGTCAGCAGCTACAGTTTTTGTAGCTCCTGACTTTTATTTTTTGACAGCGTGAGTGGAACTCCGCTTTAACTATTTGGTGTACACTAGGTGGTGCTTGTACTAGGGGAAGTGAAGGATCATGTTCCCAGCTTTGCAGGGACACACAATCCTTTACTTCCCCACCTGTCAGAACAGAGCTCTGCCTTGTTTGTTGAACATCGGTTCACCGGGACTCGTGGATTGGTTTCCGCTGTCAGTTTTCACAGCAGAAGTGAGCCACCGCCAGTGTGCGCCCCCTATGGCGGAAGTGCAAAATCACCTTTATATACATGATTTTGCACAGAAGTACCACCCTGTAGCAGTAAAACTGCTATAGGGCGGTCTTCAAGTTTTATGCAATAAAGCACTAACAACAGGGTCACTTTAAGGCACCGTATTTCCTGTGCCTATATACTCCTTGGTTATCACAAGCAATATCACAAGCAATTCCGTAATTGTTCATAGATGATTTTCTGCCGCACAGTAAAAGCGAGCACAGAGCACTGTCATTATATTTTCTTTGCTCCAGTTTACTGATAATGTCATATCTAAACACCAAAGACGATGGCTGGCATTCCGAGACTTTTTGTTCTGCCCTGTAGACACAAACATCATTTTTCACAGCGGATTCTTTATCAAGGCTTCACTGAGGATTTTTTTTTTCATTTTTAATCTGCCATATAATTTGCGTATGATATCCATCAATCCTGTTTGTCTCTCTACAGCTTTTATCAGTTTTTCTCCAATAGGCAACAATATAGACATTTTTCTTTCTTTCCTTTAGGCATGTATCTTGTTATAGAAATATTCAAGAGTGTTGAAAATATTCGAATAAAAAATGTGTTTGTTCACCCTACTTTGTAAAGAAAAGAAAAATTGAAGTATTTTGAGATGTATTTTATATTCAGTGTGCCTAAGGGCTGGTTCACACCAGAACACAATGCAGGAAATACGCCTTCTGTGCGTGTTTCTCGCAACCATGCTCAGATGCACTGCCCTTGCGATCTGCATACGGGTGCCAATGTGTTGTTAACAGCACCCCAAAAGCAGATCCCAAATGCAGTGCGTTTGTGGGCACCAAACCGCATGGCACCCCAGCACGTCTTTAAAAGTAGGGCATGCGCTACTTGTCTGCATTCCATTGTGATTTGCAGCCCATTCA